TCTCTTATATGGGCTGGTATTTTTCGTAATGATGGTAAAAGTTGAAATAAATTACTATTATTTAACGTGTGATTGTGCTCCTTAACAAATTTATTAACAAATACGAGATTCAAACGTTTTCGATATGAAGCATTTAGTATAAAATCACATTCAATACAGGCAGACTCCCGCTCTCTATTTGTTGTAGGATCCAACTTCTTTTTAGGTAAGTATTTACCTTCATGCCGACATTTATAAGATTTTCTGGAAAAAAAATCATCATTTTCCTTTTCTGCTCTTACTATTTTCGTTTCGAAACCCATTCGGATAGAGTAACGCTTTAAGCACTGCTCGAGAACCTCAAAAGAAGTAAAAGTTTGCCAAGTATGTATCTCTTTTAAAGAGCTATCTTTAGGTTCGTTTTCTGAATCACCACCTTCAGATGTGCCGTCTTCAATATCTTCAATCTCATGTTCTGAACTGCCACCTCCAGAAACATTAACATTTTCAACCACAGATAAAGTATCTTGTATATTTTATAGCCATCACCTTCATATGAAATACTGGATTCACCATCATATCTGATTACAGGCAAGGCATTAATATAACAATCATTGGAAGGTAAAGCGATATCAGATAAAGTATCTCGTCTATTTTCATATTCACCACTATATGAAACGCTGGCTTCATTAACATATCTGGTTACAAACAAGGTATTAAAGTAGTAAAATTCATTGGAAGGTAAAGCAATATTCACATCATCTTCAAGATAATATATAGTTTCGCTGTTCATATAATACTCGTCAAAAACTTGGTCAGAATTTTGGATTTCAAACATCTAAAAAAAAAAAGGTTCAGCTAATAATAAAGCTTAAACTAAAATGCTTGGAAAATTTTTTTTTACCATGAGGTTAAGAGATCATAAGTTTTGAGGAAGGTATGTAGGAATATGTGACCACAAAACTTGAGGCGAAATATCAGAATCAAGAATTTTGCCTTGAACTAAAAAATTATAAAAAGCCCGTAAAGTCTAAAAAAAAAGGAATGTAATGCGTCATTAACAAAGCAGTAAAATTTACAAATGCGAAAGGACCCAAAAGAG